AGTACCACCTATACCATCCCAATCATCCATTTACATACATGTATATCAAAACCAATTAGAAAAACTGGTCAAAGACATGTTCCTGTATCCAAATGGGAATATATTTGTGTCAGTCTTTATATCGTACAAAAACGAATCCTTAAATTGTATTCAAATAAGCAAAACAGTACATGTAAAAAAATGTCATTATTTGCATTTTTGCTTTTTGTATCATTATTCCCATACATGGAAAAACAATCCGCCTCAGGAGTATAGACAGAATGTCTCTAGGTGTCAGTAAAGCTTACTTTGCTTTTTATAAATCGACCCTCTTAATTTTAACAAGGGTGATTTCCTACTTATAATAGTAGTATTTCCAGTAAGTATTTTCACTTTACATCACATAGTTGTCAATAAGAATGTGTACGCTCCAAATGTAGCAAAGCAATAATGTTGATCAGCTGATGTGCAATCTTAAAAAAATGCATTGATTGTACTGATTTTATGAACGGTATATGTATATTTTAAAGTTTCTTAAAATTCCTCATTCTAGCTAGATAAAGCACTGTATCATTTGTCATTTGTCATATGCATATATGAGTATTTATGCATGCTGCAGTGTTATGCAGGGAAAGGGTTGGGAACGGCCCGTTGTATCACATGATTTAGCGGTCACGTGGTACATGGGATTGAGGATGTATACTTCCGGTTAGTATTAAATCAGTAGCCAGCAAGCCTTCTTCATTGGAGTACATATATGAAATTGGTGGTTTAGGACAGAAATGTGTAAAATTTCACATCTTTTATGAAAGAGATATTGACTGACTAATACGCTGTCGTCAGACAAGGCCAGGAACCACACACCAGCGTTTTAGAACATTGTTGTCACTGTAAGATTGTCGGTGTTTACCGAAAGGAAAAAATACCTTCTTCTGTCATCTGACATGCGTATATATATAATCCAGATCGAAACTGGGAAGACCAGCAGAATCTCGGTAACGACCTATTCGTAGAAACCGTGCGACTTTATAACAATTAATGCCTATTAAAGAAAATCGTTTGTTAACTACGGGGTTCGACGATTTATAACTATGAGGTCGATGGAGCTGATAATAGTTTGTGTGGAAAATTGGTTCTAATGTAGACAAGGAAATCCAATGAGCAATCCCGTTGACAAGGATCCAAGAGGAAAATTGGTTCTGGAGTATTGCTCGACATTTAATAGCCTATGGTCAATGCCATACATATAGATAGGACGATATAGTGATACACTAGTGATAGGACGCCAGTAATAGTTTCGAATCAGATCCGAATCTCTATCATTTAAGGTGGGCCCACACTTTTGGAGTAAAATAACATGTCTTGTTCTACTAATAAGTCTTTTTTTTCTTGCATTTTTGACATAGATTCGATATCAGGAAAGAAAAAAAAATGGCATAAGGACTTACTTTTCAGATGTTTGTGCTGTAAGGTAGCCACTTTTTTTGAAAATTAAGTCAAACCATGTTTTCTTAAATATTTAAAAAATAAATATAGATACCACCAAGTTGAATGTCTTTCAAACTTCCCCTGAGGTACTATCAAAAGCAAAAATTAAAGAATATAATCATATTTGTTCTATTTATGCATTTTCCGGGCAATCCGCCTTAACAAGCTTATACATATATTTTGATTAAAATCATTTCCACTCGTACATAAGGGCTTGAAGTACATTGTGGGTGTTAACGACATACGGGTAGAGTCATTACAGGTAGTGTAGTATATCCAGCTGCATAATGAACATTCTAAGGCATCGTCAACATGTCAATGTCACTTTGTAATCAGGTAACATACATGTACCATCTTTGTACGGCTTTGCTATACAATGATTTGGCAGACACTTCCATTGAGTGATGCTTATTTCTATTTTTACTCATAGTTCTAGGAAAGAAATGTCGACCAATGGGATTTGAATCAATGTCTTGGTATGAAAACTTCCTATTTCACACCGCGATGGTGTAATGGTCAGCGTTGCGGATATTACTTGAAGGCAATTTGGTTGTTGGTGTTGTTGTTGTTGTTGTTGTTGTTGTTGGTGGTGGTGGTGGTGGTGGTGGTGTTGTTGTTGTTCTGGATTGCATGTCCTATCAACAGCTTAGGGCATTTAAGGATGTTTGCTGTGTATGCGTGCATGTGTTTCATTTCAAATCAATTTTATTGTATTCAAAAAGATACAATTGGATTAGGCACAGGCATTGCCTATAAAAGCCCTTTCCAGAGAAAATACGTGCATGTGTGATGTACGTAGGGTATGTTGGAGCGTTTGCCTCCTTGTAATAGCATGGATCGTATGCCCACTTTTTAGTGACCATGCCGAAGGCACCCAGCACAGCATTCCGCCCGGTCACATTATTCTGACAACGGTAATTTGGTTTGGTTTTATTTTGTTTGACGTCCTATTTTTAAAACAGCTAAGGTCATTTAAGGACGTGCTTCCATGTGTGTTGTGTATGCGTACATGTGTGTTGGAGGCAGAGTATGTTGGTGTGCTTGCCTCCTTGTTATAGCGCAAATCTGATGGGAACATTATAGTGCTATCTCACTGAAATACCATGCCGAAGGCACCGAGCACAACATTCCGCCCGGTTATATTACACAGGCAATGGGTGAACCGATTGTTGCCATTAACCTAAATGATTATTTTGACGAGTACATTGTACAAGCATTACTGATATTTGTGCGCTACAAATAACTGTACTTTTTATCATTAGAAACATAAGTTTTAAAAATCAAACGTGTTATAATATTGAATTCACTTATCAAAGAAACACAGACAAAATTGCATTGGTTTATTTGTTTTCGCGTTCATATCCAATATTCTCCCCGTTTCTATGACATGTGTCCATTTCACCAAACACGATTTAAACTATCAACTCAAGAGTCCTATTACAGCTTTTGTGAACAGTAAACAGTAAAACCTCGTTATACTGCGATGAGCGAGGTGGCAAATGGAAGGAGGGGCGTTATCTCGAGGTTTTATTTTACATGTCTTTTTTCATTACCTTCAGCTATCCAGCTAATCACGTATTTTAATCTCACTACTTAAAATAGTGATTTGCGTCAGACAAATTTATTTATTGAACAGGAATCATATCGTATATCGATAAAGCATTCATTAGGCGTACATGTGTATGTTTTAGATATATTGATTAAATAAGCTGCATACAGTAATTGTGAACGTTGAAGAGGTGAAAACAAAACCTAAAAGAGGATTTTTTTTAAATTGATGAAAAATGTTTGGCTGGTTGCTGGTACGCCGGTGTCGGATATCAATACATTAGATGTATTACAACACAATCAATGAACTGGTTCGCGTGATGTTGCGAGATTTAAGATAATATCTTTATATTAAAATCGGAAATAGGATCAACGCGGTGACGAAACACGATACTACAACCAACAGGGAACTAACTCAATACAATCGCTCTGTTTGTATTCCGGATAAAACACGAATTTGATTTTTTGAGTTATCTGGAGTGGGATTAAAAGCTGTGGCAGGCCTATGGTTGACCAAGACCAGTTTCATCAAGCTTCAACCAAACAGCTGACGTTATGGTAAATGTTTCTATAATTCAATCTATTTTTGTACATATATATGTTCCCTTGTGTCCTTAATAAAGAAATTCGTTGTATATATGTATGACAAATAATATATTAATTTTTAAGCTCTAATAAGTGAGAAAATATCCTCGCCCCAACTGTTACCTTAACTCTCATTAAGCTTATAAAGCTCTATTGAACCTGATTCCAGAGGGATGCGGTTTGATAAAAAAGTTATTAGCAATGATGTTGCATTGCTGTGATTGTTGACGTATTGCCCGTGGTGCCTCGTTTAGATATTACACGCACGAGTGTTACACATCGGTATGAATACATTGTACAAGAGCCGGGACAATACAACGCCACTAACATCAGGAGCAAAGCTCGTCCGGATATCTCTGTGATTTGTTGCACCGACACAAAGTGACGACTTGTACATAGGACATTTAGCGAGAGGCTTCACTCCGATCAGAAGGCTTTCGCTATATAGTGGAAGTCCACACAACAGCCGCAGTGTTAGGAAAATAGCTCGACGCATCTTGGTAATTTATTTCTCTGACAGTTTTTTGGATTTATTGTCAGCGACTGCTAGCAGTGTAAGCCAGTGACGCACATTGATGGGAAGTTTCGTTGAGGCGTTCTATACGGTAAACACTGATGATACTTACGATCCGTTAATAGATCTGTTGGACACGGGTCTTCAGCGCTAAGTGGAATCTGTCTTCTCTCTATTCATATGTGATGGATCCGGTGAGAGATTTGACGGATAACGCACGAGATTAACGGACTCTATACTGTCACAACATTGTCAAAATAACTACTCGTTCTCCCGATAATTTTTGTATATAAAATGACACATTTTGAAAACATGAATCAAGATAGAGATAAACGATGCTAAAAGTCAGAAGATAATTTGTGTCGTTTCTATAAAAAGAAATAACATGTTAGTCAATAGGTGTTGAACAAATTTGTATTTAAGTACTACTGTAATACATTTTAGAACAAATTGTAGCCATTTGTGACGTTGTACAAACGAAGCGATTTTCTATTCTTCACGAAGATTTTAATATATTAATTACAGCAAGGTTCATTTTGTGACGTTGTAAAAATGTAACAATATTCTATTCTTCATGAAGATTTTAATATATTAATAATAGCAAGGTTCATTACTACTGCTGTGCCATATTGATAACATTTTAATTGCTGACAATACAGACAATGACTTTTAGCTGATCGATGCGCTACTTTTAAATGTTTCTTTCTTTTCAGGAATTATTTGCAGTGCAGCGCAATTTGACCATCTGTAATTGCTCCCGTCAGTACCTCAAGGAGAGCAGACAACATCGCGAGTATGTGATTCTTGAAGTGCATCTTTTGATAAATCAACAGATTTGCAATAACTTAAAACAATCTTTCAGGAAACTTCTCGATTCCATTTGGAATACAAGTGACAACATGTGATCGTGATCCTTTAGTGTTAATCATTAGCAGTACGAAACTGCGCTCGGCATTTGCATCGCGTCACACAGCACGGCATAGTGGTGTCTACCGCACGGAGATCTGCCTGATCTTAAAAATAGGACCGATCAAGTCTGCCTTTTCCATTACAAAGCTTTTGATTCTGTGAAGAATGCCCTTGAACGTTTTTTAGCCATTAAAGTGTCTTGTTAGCAGCCGGGAGTGACGTAACTGTCGAGTGCACGACGTCAGTCTACATGAAATACTGCAGTATTCGGTGAAGCAGTGAAGGATTTACAAGGGCGTTTGAAGGATAGCTTTTTGACTTTACAACAATCTTATAAAACAAAATCTGACGAAAACAATTGTATTTGCCTGCAGCATAAAATCTAGGGTACATTGGATAATATATACAAAGTGTTAATCATGTTTATACACTTTGTTCTAAGTGGAATTTTGACGACATCGATTTATTCTGAGAGTTTAGCTCAAAATGAAATTGTAATTGCTGGTTTGTTTCCGACTTCTCGTGATATTCCGGCCGGAGCTATTGGACGTGGTGTGCGTCCGGCTGTACAGCTAGCACTCGATATGGTCAATAATGACACGACTATTCTTAAGGATTACGTCCTTCGGATGACGTCAAAAGATACCGAGGTAAGTTCAAACAACACAAAAATAAAGAAAAATAAATCTGGTTTTTAAGTCCAATTCTTTTGTGTCTACAGACTTTTATTTATCTTTATTGGTCAATTTCATTGTCTCTGGTCACGAAAAAATTAATATCATATCAGTCTGGCCTAAATTTGGCTTTAGTTTTCAATTTCTGTGAAGAGTGAAGAATTCCATGCATACTTAATTCGTTCTGGAATTGAATAAATACTGTTTTCTCACAACCAATATATGTTTCTCCACTCCCGGCTCATTTGATAAACTTTGCAAGGAGTTGATACACATTTGGGTTACTCGCCAGTGAGTAAGACCTTAAATGTAATTTCATCTGTCAATGCTTTAATTATGACGTCACATAATAATGCTTCAAGTTTTCATTTTCAATTGTGACGTCAAAACTATATCATGGGCGGGAAAAAAAGGTCCCTAAACTCGTGATGAGTGGAGATCATGTTTATCTTCTCTCATTATCTAATTTTCAAGTGTCTTGTAACTCGGCTTTAAGTCTCTTCAAATGTTTTCCCAAATCATGACAAAATAAGATTTTATTATTGAATCATAACTGGAACAGGAAATTGGCATTGAGCACTAAATCCGTGTTTGAGCATGAGAACGGTTTCATGAATACGCTAAATGATACAATCACGACCTATACGCGATAAAAGTACGATTCGTACACGATACAAGTACAATCTCTACACAATTCGAGAACAGCTAATACACGCTAGAATTTCACTCATTGCACGATGCAAACAAGATTCCTACACGATAACAGTGCGATCTCTACACAGTACGGGAAATGTCCCTACATGATACATGTATGATCCTTATGAAATACGTCTGCGACTTACATTAACAATCCTTTAGTATACACTGAATCATTTACATTTTAAAGCATCTATTGAATGGTAATGTACTGGTAATCTTTGTATACAATTCACACATTATACATTATGCAGGAGAGCAGATGTGGTGCATTCAAGATACACGAAGTTTGCACACTATGATCGAGATCATGCACGTTGAGAGCAGATGTGGTGCATTCAAGATACACGAAGTTTGCACGTTATGCACGAGATCATGCACGGTGTACCTACACGGTACAGCAACAAGATGGTTGATTAAGGAGCAATGCCTTTCTTTGTCGTTTCCGTTAATCTTTGAAAAAAAATCACACGTCTGTGCATTATGCCGATGAGCCTATGCGGTGAATACGCAGATACACGACGTTTGCACACTATGATCGAGATCATGCACGTAGTCCTACACGGTACAGCAACAAGATGGTTAATGCCCTTTTTGTCGTTTCCGTTAATAGTCTTCATAACAAATTCACACGTCTGTGCATTATGCAGGAGAGAAGACACGACGTGTGCACGCTATGAACGATATGATGCACGTTGTACCTACACGGTACTGCAACAAGGTAGTTGACTAAGGAGCAATGCCTTTCTTTGTCGTGCATCAGCAATTAAAGCCAGATCTAAAAGCGGCGACATTTCCTATAGATTTGGCCGTCTCTTTTTACGCCTTTACAGAATGTTTCATTTCTCTTTATTGTGATGACGGCCGTAAGCCAGACATGTACAACAAAGATCTAGTCTTGTTGTTGGAAGATATTGACAACTTGGGACCAAGTTTGTTCGGTGTGGTTCCGCCAGACCATTCTAACCTGACATTAAGGTCATGCTAAACCTTAGCTTACAAGAGACTGCGCTGACTTCATGTCATCCCTATACAGAGATTGTAGCTTGGTATTCTGACAATTCCTGTTGCCCTAGAGTATTTTTTGACGGTATCCATTTCAGTATGTAGAAATCGATCTTGTGCGTGGTTTAGTCGCATAAAACGGTCATTATGGCATGTTCTCGAGTTCCTGGAATATGGTAGTGACATTGATATATACGTTTTAAAAGGATTCCGTGTTACTTCAACTTTCAATTAACGAACCAATTTGAGAACGAACCAAATTTTACTAGATTTATGAATTCTATGAGTTTCCTAGTGTTCTTGTTACAGGGTACACGTTAGATATTTTAATATTATTTTGCTTTTTAACGTGAAACTATTACTAACGTATATGCGCATATGGATAAGTTTATTTTCATTTTTAAAAATATTGGGAAACAATTTGTAGAAATACTTGCACTCATACTCCAAAGTTAAACAAATGATAAATGGCCATCATTTCATTTTTAACATAACATTTGTTATTGTATTTTTATCGTGGAATGCAGATTTCCTGTAATAAAACATGTTTGGCTTGAAGTTCATTCAATCGAATAGACTGCCTTGATTTCTGCATCGATCGGAAACCCTGTCATTAGGTAATGTTGATGACATCGCAGGAAGCTTGCTGATCAACAAATTTGCATATCACACTCACATATGCACTGTCGACAACGTCAAGTGTCGGGCTGTAGTTGTTTAAGCAATGAATTATTGTTCAAGTGGTGTCGTGGTCCTATAACATGTCTTGCTATTCCTAACATAAGTAACTCGTGCAGGTTCGGGGAAGGAATAGGCCTGCTGCATCCCACTGCATAATCGTAGAGGCGACTTATGTGGGGCCACCTGCAGAATCAAGGTTTTCTTCTGTGTCTTCTACCAAGGGGACATGCCAGAGACAAAATTGATCTGCTGTCCCATTGAAACACTTGAGATCCTTTTCGTTTGCTGTATTTCCTGTCTTCTTTTTCTTAACAGCGCTGTCTTCCTAGGTACACGTCCTTGTATGACCCAGACTGTTGTGTCTCCCTACAATGTAGGTACACGTACGTCCTCGTATGACCCTGGCTGTTGCGTCTCCCTAAGCACACGTCCTCGTATGACCCTGACTGTTGTGTCTCCCTAGGCACACGTCCTCGTATGACCCTGGCTGTTGTGTCGCCCTAGGTACACGTCCTTGTATGACCCTGGCTGTTGTGTCTCCCTAAGCACACGTCCTCGTATGACCCTGACTGTTGTGTCTCCCTAGGCACACGTCCTCGTATGACTCTGACTGTTGTGTCTCCCTAGGCACACGTCATTGTATGACCCTGGCTGTTGTGAAGACGTTAAACCTCAAACGAACAAAAACAAACAAAAACTTGACAAATAAAGCATGCCACGGTACGGTTTCTGTTGCTTCATAAACAATAGCAAGGTGCGCAATAGTACCACAACACACTTTGTTTAACATTCAATTCTTGAACAAAATTGCACAAAAAAAGTTTTAAAAATCGAACTGAATCTTAACATATCTCAACAACAGACAGAAGGATAAGGCAGTGATCGGTGCTGACCCCTTCTCAGTATATAGTGTGTATACTTAAGTATTCATGTAATTTCATTTTAGATATTTTAACCTGTAATCTCATATGATCGACCATAAGGTTTTAAATAAAGTAAATCAGGATATTCACATGTGTTGCAAATTTTCGGGAATACGTTCAAAATGAAATAACTGTGTTTCAATTTTTACGTTTTTGTCTGCTTGCTAATTCTATCACGTACGTGCGTGGAATATTTCGATATGTGTGAAAAGTTTGCGGTCTATTTTTCACATTTTCATCAAATCACAAATAAAAGCGAAAATTTGATACCCACGAAAAATAATCGATATAAGATAAACAATCTTCAGTGTTTTGAGACTAGTGATAACGGTGAATAAGACATATGACGCGATGCACATCTGCGCTTGCGACCAAACAACAGGATAATTCAAATATATTTTCCAAACAGGCGGGATGTTCTTATGCTAGAAAGATTGGACATTAGCCATCTGATTCAGCTTTTTGTTCCTGATATTCCTTGTAAATAGTATGGCATTGAAGTCACAGAATATTGTACTTCTAACGACAATAATGTTAATACATAAATCATAACATTCCAAGCAACGATATGTTAACACCAACTGTGAGAATATCCAGATAGACTAATGCTGCTCGTGTTTGTGTCCATCCTCTTTATTTCCGCGACCAAACACTGATGCGTCTGACAGCTCCTGTCATTGTACAAAACATAACGATATGACAACCTCAACTGTGAGAGAATCCGGAGAGTATAATGTTACTCGTGTATGTTTCCGTTCACTTAATTTCCGCCCCAAACATTGATAAATCTGACAGATTCTTTGTTTAGTGTGCACGTGTATTACGTAGAAACACACAGCAATCCAACTGAAGCAGAAGGGAACAGAACCAGTGCAGAACAATTTTATTTATTTATTCTTTATATGAATAGAAACTAGCGAGGAACGCTAGATCGTCGGTATGTATTCCGACTGTCTCATCAGTGTGGATTTTCTACAGATGGTTTTGGTGGCCATATAAGTTTATCGCCGATCTAACCATGCCATTAGGATATCGACCTGGAGCCATCATTTGTTCACATCCGACCCCGCTCCTGCGACTCGTGTAGCGTGATGGATGTGTAGTAAATCGACTTGAATTCTCGCGCTCCATAATTGCCAGGCGATAGACATGTTGTCGTCTCCAAAAGCTCAACTTTTGGGTCGGAGATTAATTACGGATCGGAGGATTTCCTTCAACATATCTCCAAGATTAGTATCCGATTTTTTGGATACCGATTAACATGTTAAAGATACAGGATCATAACTAATAGCGTAACGTCGTATGTTTGATTTCCCCTTTACCAGGAAGTCACGTGGGGAATACATGGCACGTGATACGTCACGATTTGCTATTCTTCTTGGCTATTATTTCCTCACGATAATGGATTTTTCCTATCCACACGAAAGAGTGTATGTATTTCTTATCTTAAACAAATGACCAAAATAGCTTTGCATATCTTGAGACAAATACAAAGCTTTTTACGCCAACAGCTATTTCTAACGTCACGTCTTTTTACTAAGAAACGATAAGTACAGGGCCCGTATTCATGAAACCGTTCTCACCCTCAAGCTCTGATTCTGTGCTCAAGCCAAAATTCTTGTTCCATTTATAACATTCGTAAACATTCTATTTTTTGTCAATGTTTTTGGA